CCCTTTTTGAATACTGGAGTGACATTAGCCACCCTCCAATCTGCAGGGACTGTTCCAGCGTTTATAGAATCCTGGAAGATGACCACCAATGCATCCGCTACTTCCAGAGCTACTTTCTTAAATACTCTGGGATGTAGATGATCAGGTCCTGGGGATTTATTAGCCTTCAATCCCAACAATTTTCCCAGCACCATTTCCCTACTAATATCGATCTCCCTCAGTTCTTCCTTCTCACTAAATCTTGCCTCCTCCAACAATTCTGGTAACTGATTTGTGTCCTCTTTTGTGAGGACAGAACCAAAGTATGTATTCAGTTCCTCAGCCATTTGTTTGTCCCTATTGTACATTCACCCATTTCTACTGTCGGGGGCCTACATTTGTCTTTACCAATCTCTTTCACTTCATGTACCTATAGAAACTCTTAGCGTCAATCGTCATGTTCCCTGCAAGCTTACTTTCCTACTGTATTTTCCCCTTCTTAATCAATCTCTTGGTCTTTCTTTGCTGCATTCTAAACTGCTCCCAATCCTCAGATTTATTATTTTTCTTGGCCAGTCTGTATGCTTCTTCCTTGGATCGGATACTATGACTTATTTCCTTTGTAAGCCATGGATTGGCCCTCTTACCCATTTTGCTTTTGCAAAACAGACAGGAATAAACAGTTATTGCAGATCCCCCATGCGTTCCTTGAATCTTTGCCATTGCCTATCCACTGTCATCCCTTTAAGTAACTCTCTCCAATCTTTCAAAGCCAACTCACAACTCATATTCTCGTAGTTCCCTTTATGAAGGTTCAGCACCCTAGTCTCTGAATCAACAACCTCACTCTCCATCCTGAGAAAAAAATCTACCATGTTATGGTCGCTCTTCCCCAAGGGGTCTTACACAATTAGATTGGCAATGATTCCCTTCTCATTATGCAGCACCCAGTTTAAGATGGCCTACTCTCCAGTTGGTTCCTCCACATATTGGTCAAGAAAACCGTCCCGTATACACTCCAGGAATTCCTCCTCTACGGCATTATGGCTAATTTGATTTGCTAAATCTATGTGCAGATTAAATCACTCATGATCACAAGTGAGTGCTTTGACACACATCTGATTCCCAAGCTTCTTTACTGTTAGATACCTACATTAGCTTAAGAGAGACAAGTTCCACAAAAAAATCCCAAAAATGCATCTATTACAGATGAAAAGCAATTACCGAAACGGAGTTCCACCAGCGAGTGGCATAAAGACCAAGAGTGTCACTTAAATGTGCAATTTTTTTTCAGATTGGCTGAAGGAAAGATTTATACCAGTGACTCCAGAAACAGATAGCAAAATATATGGATTTACCCTGAGGAAGAGAATTCAAGCAGAATAAAAGACACTTTCACAGAAGGAGACTAATCACTGAGCCATCCCAGAGGAAGGTGAACGAACACACAGCTCAGATAATATTCATTTGTCAGTTAATTGCAACTGGTAATTATTTGCTTCCTCTGATTCAGTTTAAAGATAACCTCGAAGTTAATAAACTATTCTCAAGTACTTGCCCTGTCTGACTCTTTGATTGGTTTTGTACTTTTGTTCAGTAGTTAGTGGATGCTGTAATTGAAAATTACTAAGATTTAATCCTTAAATTTAATCTAACTGAAACAAATGGGAAATTATTCACCCATATAAGTGTAGACTAGGCAATAGCCGCTCTCTTAGAGAACAATTAGGTGATGGGAGTAAAAGATTCGTGTTCCCTGTCAAAGTTTTGTCAGGACAGCTCTCCCAGTGTGCTTACAGTACATATACAGGAGTGGCACAGTGGTTAGCACTGCTGCCTCACAGCACCAGGGAGCCGGGTTCAGCTCCAGCTTTAGCCAACTGTGTGGAATTTGCACATTCTCCATGTCTGTGTGGGCTTCTTCCGGGTGCTCTTATTTCTTCCCATAGTCCAGAGATGCGCAGGTTAGGTGGACTGGCCATGCTAAAATCAGGAATGTGCAGGCTAAGTGGGTTAATTATGTAAGTGCAAGTACAGGGATAGGGTAGGATGCTTTTGAGAGGGTTGGTGCAGACTCGATGGGCTGAATGGCTTCCATCTGCATTGTAGATGCTATGATTCAATAGGACAACATTAGATTAGATCACAAATGCTATTCCCTCACATGAACTCATCTGATTCCCAGACAATGTCTCAGGATGAAACACTGTTCACAGCTCCAGCTCGCCTTTGAGCCTGATCTTAACTTCCAACTGCACATCCTCTCTGACAACAACATTAGCTACATTTGACCTGAATTAAATTCCTTGCCTCTGCTGGGGCTCAGCTTATCTGCTGCTGCAACGTGCACCCTTGCTTTTAAGGCCATAAGACCACAAGACCATAAGACATAGGAGCAGAAATTAGGCCATTCGACCCATCGAGTCTGCTCCACCATTCAATCATGGTTGATAAGTTCCTCAACCCCATTCTCCCGCTTTTTCCCCGTAACCCTTGATCCCCTTGATGATCAAGAACCTATCCATCTCAATCTTAAATATAATCAATGACCTGGCCTCCACAGCCTTCTGTGGCAGTGAATTCCATACATTCACCATTCTCTGGCTGAAGGAGTTTCTCCTTATCTCTGTTCTGAAAGGTCTTCCCTTTACTCTAAGGCTGTGCCCTCTGGTCCTAGTCTCTCCTACCAATGGAAGCATCTTCCTAACATCCACTCTGTCAAGGCCATTCAGTATTCTGTAAGTTTCAATTAGATCCCCTCATCCTTCTAAACTCCATCAAGTACAGTCCAGAGTCCTCAAACATTCCTCATATGTTAACCTTCTCATTCCTGGGACCATTCTTGTGAACCTCCCCTGAACCCGCTCCAGGGCCAGTACATCCTTCCTGACAATCTGTGAAACTGGCTCCAACCCTCAAAACTCGTCCCATCTCTGCACTAATCCAATTCTGGTTTTGTATATGTTCTCCAAGTCTTTCAGTCCATCAGAGGCCTTCAGCTGAAACCACTGGAGCATCATCTTTCTAGAATAATAGAATAATTAAGAAAAATTTAAGAAAGTGTCCTACACAGAAATATAAATAATGCTAAGATTATTATTGCATCTTCTGTTAAACTATTCACTTTTTTATGTTTCTACATTGCCTGCTGTGTAGCCTCGGAGTCGGACTAAGCCTGCAACGTCAGGTCCCATATCTGAAAGTTAGCCCAAAGATGAAGGCTTCTTTATAGGTGGAAGACCATCAAATCTCCTCCGCCATTCGATCATGGCTGCTATGCTCCTCACCCCAATTTTCCTACCTTCTCCCCATAACCCTTTAACCCATTACCAATTAAAAATCTGTCTAACTCCTCCTTAAATTTACCCACTGTCCCAGCATCCACCGCACTTTGGGGTAGTGAGTTCCACAGATTCACCACCCTTTGGGAGTAGTAGTTTCTCCTCAATTCTGTTTTAGATTTGCTACCCCATATCCTAAAACTACGGCCTCTCGTCCTAGAATGCCCCATAAGAGGGAGCATCTAATCTACGTCTATTTTATCTATACCTTTTATCATCTTGAATACCTCAATTTGATCTTCCCTCACCTGACATTGTGAAGAGGGTGGAAAAACGGGGATTGATTGACTGCTGTGAAACAAAACTGTCTTGATCATGGAGTGTCGTAACCCTCTTGCCATGTCAGAAATAATTGTTGGTTCAAACTCCACTCCCACAATTTAAGTACATAATCTAAGATGACACTCCAGTGCAGTACCAAAGGAGTGCTGTACTACCAGAGGTACCACCTCTTAAATGATTTACTAAACTGAGAAATAAATTTCCCCCAGTGGGGATTTCCATTGGTACTATTTGAAAAAGAACAGGAGAAGCCTCAATGCCTTGACTAATATTTATTCCACCACCAATATCATCATATGGATGATCTGGTCATTATCAGATTGTTGTTTGAGGGAGTCTTGCTGTGTGTAAGTTGTTGCTACGTTTCCTATATTACAAAGTGACTGCACTTGATTGTTATAAATCATTTTGGATGTCCTGTGATTGATAAAGATGCTAGATAAAGTAAATCTTTCAATCAGGAAATTGGGCACAAACCAGCATGATTCGGTAGCTCAGTTCATATTGATTGAACATTATCTTGCTGGATGACCAGATGGCTATACGCATGCCATCTAGTCCACTTATGATAATTGTGGAAAGCCAGCTCCTACAGAAAATCTCAAAGCCGTTTTGCGTTGACTGATATTGTCAATTGGGAATCTGATCTATTTAACCTGAGCAAAGGGAGCATGTGACTTCCTTGGTGCATTCGCAGACTAGACTAACTACTCCTCTCAATGTCACCTGTTGCAGCATGGAATGAATCCAAGGCAAATGATGAACTGCATTGCCACAGCAACACATGGCCATCTAGCAGAGTGAGCTCTGGATATGCTGGAGGATACTGCACAGGTCCGAGACATCCTGTCTGATCAGAGAAGCTTCCTTATAAACTGCTGCCCAGTCAATTCCAGCCAAGTAACTCTGGGTCGATCAATTCGATGCAATTGGTATGGCTTTATGTGCAGCATCTTATCCCCACGATCCAGCTGCTGGTCCAACTCCTGTGGCTCCTCTTTCTGCATCCAAACTTGCGACTAGGTTGACACCCATCTTAAGTCCTGAACTTGTTAACAGTGAAGAACTAGAACAAATACTCAAGGAAGCAAATTCCATGTGAATAACCAAAGTAAACCAATACCAATGATCTGAGTCCTCTTAAATACAACCAATAATTACAGTTCTAAAATTAACTCTGCCTAATACTTGAGTGTGCTCAATGATGGGCAACCTAAAATAGATTCTGCTGATATAATAGGATCCTTTTTGAATATTCTAATGAGGTCCCTGTCTGTTTCAGTCAAAGTGAATTAAAATCGGTCATTAAATGAACTGCACAAAGTCACATCCAATACACTGAGTTGCAATTGATTTGATTTATCAATGATTATCACATGTGTACTTCGTAAATCCTACCTGATCTGTCAGACAGATACTGTGCGTGTCCACCCTGTAGCCTGTTGAGGGAATCCAGTGCAGCCTGACTTCTCGTGATGAGATAATCTGCAGAAAGCAAATGATTGCAGTAAGGAATCCAGTCAGTTATAATTTACACTCACTAACTTAACAAAGCTGCATCAACCATATTAAGCATATGGTTGCTTAATCCATATCAAAAAGATATCACATTTTTGCTTGGAGTCTAAAGAATTGAAAAAAATCCCCAAAGGTATCCTGTCCTGATTCTCTAAGTAACACAACCTTTGAAAAACAAGGTAATTTTCCAAAGCAAGGCTTTCAGTGTTGAGCCTCATTAAATATGTGGGTGCTAAAGAATTATTTAATTGGAATGTAGCAGCAGAAGGAGTAGGCCATTCGGCCCCTTGTGTCTACACTGCCTTTTTAGATCTTGGCTGATGATCTACCTCAATATCATTTTCCTGCATTATCGTCATACCAGGGATGTGACTAGTAATTTAAGCTAGGCTCTGAACAACCTACACAAATCTTGTTTTCTGTATTTGCCTGCAGAACTAGTACACTAATATAAAAAGTAAACATCTTTTCAGCAGTCCTTAAAGAATTTTGTATTATTCATCAAGATCACCTCTCTTTCATTTAAATGCTAAACAATACAGTGCCAGTCTCCACAATTTCTCCCTGGAGGACAGCCCTGTGTTCCCTGGAATTCGTCTCGTTCAGCTCCACTGGACTAGCTCTCTATGGCACCCATTGCTTTAATACATTATAGTATAAACCCAGATGAAGCCAGCAATTCTGTATGCTAAGCTTGGAACAGATTCTGGTAAATTGATCTTTATCAAAGCCAGAGTTTATCTCCAAGAGACAATCAGAATGGCATTCCTGATTCCATCCGTTTCTACAAGCAAGGGCAAGCTGTGATGCAAATAGCAATACACAGTTACTGCTGTGTGCAGTTCCTGCTCCACAGGGGTAAAGCTCACCCCTCACTGGTTTATGGTGTTCCAGACCAATGACAAGGCCTGCTGGAGGATTTCACTGATGGCTAATTAGTCAATTGAATATTCAAAGTTATTTCATCTATTTCCTGACTAGCCAGTCTGCTACCGCTATACCTGAATGTTTCAGTACCAATTCCTAAAGTTGTTTAGGCTGTCCAAACAGGTTACAAGGAGAGACACTGGCATGAGAAACAGCAAAAGCAATTATTGGTTCTGACCTGGCTGTCTATCCCTCAACTATCAATATGATGATGTTGGAACTCAGATTTTTTGTTTTCTATAGAAACAGGAATTCAGTTGATTGTGAATTTTCACAAGGCTAGCACTGGTTCTTGCTCTTCTCAGCCATGCTAAGCAATGTCAAGCTGTCATGATTTAATGGGAGTCAACTATTCTCTTTTTGGGTTTCATTTGAACTGTGGTGGAAGGACTGTATTCTAGCTATAATGTGTTTCCTTGCTCCCTAAGTTTCCTACCTCAAACTTTCACATAAATCAGCTTCAAAGTACTTCACACTCAGACCTTAACAATTAGCTATTTAATCTAAATTTTGATTCAACCACTGATCAGCCTCATCACCACTTGTTTTTTGTATTTACCTGCAGAACTTGTGCAGCCAACATGAAGGGGATCATCCAACCTGCTGAGTGCATCCTGTACAATTCCCTCTGCCTCCTCCAAAGTACAGCACAGCAGAGCAAACTGCTCATCCAGTAGCTGCTTCTCCAGAGATTGTTCATGGTTCTCCTAATAATATAGAGCACATGAAGCCACCAGTGTACATTTGACATGTGTACGCCCAGCCCAGATACACAGCACAAAAAAAACAAAGTACAGTTATACAATATTACAGATATACGCACACCCAGTTTGGGGATGGGGAAATTGGGTGAATTATGACATAGAGTAAGATGGAGCAAAGGAACCTTACAAGGCAGTTCGATGCAGTTGTACATCATTCATGGCTGAATAGTTCAGCTCAAACTCTAGATCAACACTTCAGTGTCATACACAGAGAATGCTGCAATGTCAGGAAGTGTTGTCATGAGGATAATGCTTTAAATTCTTCTGGTGAATGTTAAAGATCCACCAAAAGGAGCAACACAGGCAGGTTATTAATTTCAGTGTGCAACTGAACTGGGTATGTTCTTCAGATATTCAACAAATACTAAAGGATTCTTTGACTTATGAACCCTAACCAGAATCACTCAATGCATACTTTTTCATTCAGCTGGTTCTGCAGCCCCTCAACTGTTCGGCTGGTATTGTCCCTCTCTGCTGACAGAGCCTCCTTTAGCTGCTGCAGCTCATCTTGTAGTGCAGTTAACATGTTCTCCTTCTGATCCACAGCCTCAGACAGCGCCTTCTTCTCTGACGTCAGGGATTCGATTGTTGATGCCATCCCTGTGCTCACCTGACAGGAGAGGTACAACAGGAATAAAGTGACGTCATTTACTGAAACTAAAAGTATGTTTTCCACCAGGTTTTGCCTTGTTTGATTTTTTTTAAAAAAAGATTGTTGTTGCATTGTAAAGTGTATACCATAATGAAAAAAAAACCCAAGTACACTTTCATTTATGAATTTAAAGAGTGAATGCTTTTACAGCACTGTAATTGGAATTCAGTTTGTACACTGTTATTTACTTCTCAGAAAACTTGATAGATCAAGTAGAATGGGTAAAGGAACATAACGTTTGAATGAGAGGTCATAAACCCGCAACATGAACACTTGCTTCTCTCTGGGAACATAGAAACAGACGTAGGCCATTCAAGGCTGTTTTAGAAATCCAATTTTAACGTTATGCCCTTTTGTTCCGAACTCCCTTATCAAAAGAAACAATTTTTTTTCCAATATACCTTTTCAATTCCTTTAATCATCTTAGATCAAAGGTAAAGTGGCCAGAGTCTTACCAGACCATGGGACTACTCTCTCATGAAAGAGATGTCCAGAGGCTCACCGCGCTTCAAGCGAGGGGAGATGTTGAGAAGGAGATTCTCTGGTAATCAGTGCAGGAATTGAACCCACGTTGTTGGCATCACTATGCTTTGCAAATCAGCTATCCAGCCAACTGAGCTAACTGACCTTCAATCATCTTAGAGATTTTAATTAGATCACTCTTTGTCTTTTATACTCAAGAGAAAACAAACATCGTCTTCCAGATCTCATAATTTAAGGTCTGAATTTTTACAAAAGCAGACTGTCTCAGCATCATTGCAAAAATGGCTGAGGAGGCTGAAATTGGAAGTCCTGTCCCAAACATAGGATCCACCATCTTTGTGCGAGTGGGAATTGAGACAGGTCAATTTTAGCACGTGTGGTCCATAAAGGCAGTTGCCAATATATGATCAGCAGCTGTCTCTACCCACATCCGATTTTTGCAAACCAGGTGCGTGAAACGTGATGTGCAGATTGGACCCGGGATGAGCAGGTCTAAACTTTGCAGAGCTCTTTGAAGTGTTGGGATAGCATTCTGGGAAGATAATGTACCTCTCGATATGGACCTGGGATATCTCTGGGGAGTCAGTTATCCTTTAGGAGAGGCCAGGTGTTCTTTGGTATTGTTAAAAGTCAGCATGAATGGACATAAGACTGTCATTAATTTTCAAAAATGTCAAAAGAAACCATCAAAAGCATCAGTCAAAAGGCACTGTCAAGCCATTTAAAACTCCTGCTCTTTGAATCTTTGAAAAGAATCCCAAGAATGTTAAAAAAAAGCTTGTTATATCATGCCATCTATTGACATAGCCTGAAGAATACCATTATTGGATTAGTGCTGCATGACCGATTTCACAACCATTTACCATAGTAAGGTGCCTGCCTTTTCATAGTTTGATTCACAGCTCCTAGTGGTTATAGACTCTTTAAAGTAGGAATTTGACAACAAATCCCATGCTGCTTTCTTTAAGGGATTTTGCACTCAAGTGAAATGTTTGTTCTAATAAGGGACATTGTCATTGAAGAAATGCACATGCAATCAATGGGTCTGTAAAAGATATCACTGTGGATCCCAGGGCTTCCTGTGGGAGGCATTGGGTTAACTGGAATGGTGAGTGAAAGGCAACTGGAGGCTGGTGGGTGAGCAGGAGTTGCAATGAATTAGCGTAGGGGTTATAAAGGGCCATGAGGAGTGTGTGTGGGTGAAGACTAGATAGCTGGTTTAATGACATCTTTTTTAAAAGAAAACAATGCCAGCAGAATGCTGGAGCACTGAGGCAGATGTCAGCCCAGCCTGCCTCTGACAGCTTCTATACTTATTCTGGGGGCATCTAGCCCAATTCTCAAAGAACTCAGCTGCTGTGGAATGAGAATTCCAATTTCTCTGGCGTGTTATCCCAAGTTGGATTTGTAGAGCCTAGAAACATCCATGGTGGACACTCCCATCTCAGAAGTAAAAATTCAAGCCCAAGCCTTAGCCCTTACAATGAAGCCTGACCAGTTGAGCATTTCTAGTACTTTGTGTTTTCATGAAGGAACAGAAGGCAGGATTAACCAAATAAAATCACTTAGCAAAAGTCATAGTTCATGTAAGCATAGTGTTCATAGATAAATAGGTAGACTGATAGGACAGAGGATCTAAATTCAGATTACTCTCATTCTGGTTACAAGTTTCAACAAAGCTTCCTTCAATCAGGAAGATCAGTGAATCAACTCCTTTGCTCTACCCACTGCAATGCTTCTTTTCCAAAACTCAAATGATCTATTTTTCCCCTTTGAGAGCCTTGCTGAGCTATAAAATAAATACAACTGTTATTGCAAGTTTCAAGCCTGATTCAGCAAACATCACACTCACTGCAGAACTGCTGAGACATAGACTCGAATTGAAACCTTATCATCAAGGATCAGCTCACTCTCATGAGAATCAAGCGCAATAATGAGCTCACAAAATACTAGCAACATTCACGAAAGATTGAGGTTATTGGTTCAGACCATTGGGGTTCATCCTGAATTGATTCTCCAAACATGAACGACAGCAATCTGGATATGACCTGAACATTGCTTTTTAAAATGTAGCTCCACTGAGGAAGCTAAAGTTGTGTACACAAGAAGTTTGGAACCTTCCTCCTTCCCACTCACAAAGCAAACTCCCCACCTCCAGACTGCTTGGATGTGGAAAAGGTAGTTGTCACCTGAAGAAACTCTCCAAAATCTCAATACAGTCCTGAAATACCATTGGAGCACCTCCAAATTGGGAAGATGAGTAGCAAGTTTAGAATTTAAAGAAAAACACAACAAGAGAAGGTAAAGACGTATAAAAAGAGTAAATTTGCAAATGTGGGTCTTTAATTTTGGAGGATAGTAATTGCCATCTCACCTTTTCAGAGTCCGCATGTGAAGTTTTCAGAGACTCTACCTCCTCATTTCTCGATTTCAGTTCCTTCTGCAGAGCTTCTAGGACACAACTCTGCTCCTGATCCTGTAGTTTCAGGAATGAGAAATTTATCAGCTAGAAAACCATCAGACTGACTGTGACTTTACACCTGTTGAAAGATTTGAAAAACCACAGAAGAAAACAGGCTTCTGTCTCGGGGAAAAAAATCTCTTTTGCACACCTGCCCATCATTGCCATCATATGGTCCATTACCACCAGAAACATACCTGACCACAGCACACTGCAGGAGTCTCTAACAAAACTGCCTGTGCGTGGCCAGGATTTCATACGACTGCAGATCAAAGATCCTATCAATATCCCCTGCCCATGCTCACACAAGCAACAGCTTGTATATATACCATGCCTGTGATAATGGTAAAAATATCTCAAGGTGTTTTATTGGAATGTCACCAGAAAAGATGTGACACTGAGCCACACGTTAGAACAGGTGATCAAGTGTTTGGTCAAAGGGATACATTTTGAAAGGATCATAAAGGAAGTGAGAGTTGGGAGAGGTGGGCCTGTTTAGGGAGGTTAGTTGGCAGGGAACTAGGGGATGAAGGTGGAACAATACCCCAACACCATGGAAGAGGAGAGGAAAAAGAAGATGCACAAATTAATCCCTCCACAGAAGTAGTGCAAAAGATCAGTCTCCCACTGAGTTGGACCGAAATTATTGCAACAGTTTGCAAAGTTACACAGGCTTTGAGATCAAGCAACATTGGAAAGGGATTTCTCTTGATACACTGAGATCTGAGATACACTCACTTTTTGCTGAATATCTTCCTTCAACTGATGCACAGTTTCCTCTAGCTCCTTCTTCACCTGTTCCATGTCCTCTTGTGTTTGACGAAAGGATGTCATTTGCTTTGTTACATCTGCATTCTGTGTAAATTAGAGCAGGAACATGTCGGTCAGGGCACAGCTGGGTAATCAGTTTGCACTTTCAAGCATTACTGGGGCAAGAGAATACAGACAGAGCACACCCTGGTTCAGAGAAACTCGAGCTATCTCTGAGCAAATTTCACCAGCATGCATCATTCTCAGTTGTTTGTCTGAACTGTTGAACAAACTCTCCAGAACACCATTATCCCAGACCCTTTTAACACATTCTCTCCTCAGTTCAAAACTCTCTTTAGAAATCTCACTGTGAAGTATTTACTGCAATCAGACAGCAGTGAAGGGGCCATTCAACACATCATATCTGAGCCAGAGATAGTAGGAAATGCAGATGCTGGAGAATCTGAGATAACAAGGTGTAGAGCTGGATGAACACAGCAGGCCAAGCAGCGTCAGAGGAGCAGGAAGGCTGACGTTTTGGGCCTAGACCCTTCTGTGCCAGCTCTTTGAAAGAGTCTGCCAATTATTTCCATTCCCCTGTTATTTTCCTGTGGCCCTGCAATATTTCTTTCATCCACTATTTTTTTCTTCCAACGCCATTTCAAGGCATTCCATGTTATGAAAACATGCATCATGAAAACATTCACATCTTTCACCAGTTCTCTTAACATGGCTATATAAAAGGAAGTTGCTGTTATTAAATGTGGAATAGAATTCCATTACTCTGGAATCACTGAGAGGGCCAAGTCTTCTACTTCTTGGATATTATGCCAGCACCCGTTGTAACTCAATGAGTCAATGTACCACCTAAACAGAACGAAGCCACTCAGTGCAAAAGGATCCTCAGACTCCTTCAACTTTGCATACGAAGGCGAACTGTTCTCTGTTACATAAGGGACAGCGTTACAGGCAATAAGACAAATCGCAGGCAAGCACAACTCAAGAGGAAAGCTAAACGGAGTCAATTTACAATCCTGTTAGGTTTCTCCCCAGAGATAGTAGGAACTGCAGATGCTGGAAAATCTGAGATAACAAGGTGTAGAGCTGGATGAACACAGCAGGCCAAGCAGCATCATAGGAACAGGAAGGCTGACGTTTCGGGTCTAGACCCTTCATCAGAAAATTTCTCCCCAGAGTCCTTGCATTGACACTCATCCAAAATCTGAGTGACACCAAACTGCTCATCTCGCCTCATACTCATATCAATCATGTGCTCACCACATCATCTGACAACAGAATACAATGCAGACTACCATCAGTATGGCAGCACAGTTTGCAGTACCACTGGTCCCATTAACAATGTAGCAAGCCTTCTGATGGCCACTGAATAGACTGACAAGCCCATAGAAAGGAAGCCTCCAGATTCATCCTTCATTTACACTGAATCATGAGATTTAAACTATGCCATTACTTAGAATGCACTTGCAACTCTGGGCTTTATAATGGTGTGGAAAGGAAGGGGGGCAGGAGGGTGAAGGGAAGAATAAACTCTGCCCTGATCATTATTCCCTGATGCCTGGTGGCAAGTTTGGATATCAAATCAGAATTCAACTAGTCTTGGTCAAACCTGATGCGTCATTAACTGCACTGCTGTTTGCTGTCTAGATTCAAACAGGCTGCCTCTGAACTCTGTCCCAGCAAAGGTCTGCAACTTCAGGAAAGAGAGGAGTGAAGTGAGCTGGCAGGAAAAACATACTGAATGCAAGCTAAACATAGGGGTTAAAAACCTGACTGTCATTTACTTACAATAACACCGCATCTGCAAGGACATCTTATGCCACATTTTCAGTTCAAACTATCTGACACTTTGGTTATATATGGAATAACATCCATCATATCTGGTGTAACATGGCTACCAACGTACTTGAAATCCTTTTAAAGTCAAGTTTTTAACCATGATTCACCTTGCAAGGCTCCTAACGTCAAATACCATTGTTAAACTTTGGTCTGTCTCGCAGATTATCATTTCTACAGCCAATTAAACTATTGCTCCATTGATTAATTGATTTGGATTTTAACTACGTTATCTATAATTACAGGTCCTCCTTGCTAGTCAATCCAGGCATCCAATATCACTTACTTAATTAGTTGGCGTTAATTCAATTATATGCAAGAAATGTCTTTATTTATTTAATTCTCTAACTTCGATAGTGCCTATTTTAATCAATGCCTGTTTCTGATACCTTTCTTCATTCAAATGATTTGTATTTAATTTGAGAAATCCATTATTAACGTTACAAAATTTGCAGACTTTACAAAAAAATCTGCAGATGCTACTCTTCCAGTTTGGATTTATGGTCCTGCTTTACTTCAACACTGGGAATGTTATCGTCTACAAACATCTACAATAGTACAGTAATTCTCCTCAGTAAACTGTTGCCTTCGACAATACTTTCTGCAATTTTGGCCAAGGGAACTGCCAGGCATCTCAGACAGATTTATATGCCTCACATTTGGGCCTGTGATACCTTCATGGGATCACTGGTCAATGACCTATTTTCCTGCTCAATTCCAAATTTGATCTGTTTCTTTCATTCAAACTGAGAAATTTACTTCTATCAGCCTTTTTATTTTATCACTAAATTTCAAGATCAGAAATTAATTCTCAAGAGTATTCTAACTTTCCATGCTGTGCAATGTAACCATTTAAGTATTTTAGTAAACAATAGGGTGCTTCTTTTTCACTGAAGAGGTTTCAGAAACATTTTTTATTTAACTTTTTCCAAATAGCCATAGAGATGAAAGCAGTGAAAATCAGTTTATGGACAGAAGGGCAGGAAGCAAAAATTATAGAAAAGATGCAAGGCAGGTGTCAATTGTTCCATTTATCATTTTTCTCATGTGCTTCCAACTGAATGAATTAACTAACCTCACTGTTCCATTAGCTTATTGTTCACATGTCCACAATGTTGCATTTATTTTTTTTTGGTTCCAACTGCTCTGTTCACTTCGTAATTAATATTATGTTATATGTTGCAAATAATATTTTAAAATTTCAACAGTTTATAGGTCTTCACTCCAGCATGAGAACTGTAGGAGATCAACTAGTTTATTTGATTCATCAGCTGAGCGCATGAATTAAAGAATCTTACAACACAAAGGCAGCCCTTCTGTCCGTTTTGGCTATGTCAGCATTGTGAAAATATACAAGTTAGATCCAACTCTCTCCTTATCATTCTGTAAGTATTTTCTTTTCCCATAGATATATCCAATTTCCTTCTCAAAGTAACAGTTCAGGGATAGCAGGGAATAAAATGATTTTGGTTTGTAGACAGAGATGTGCTTCAGCCAACGGTTTAGCCACAAGCAGAGGATATAAGTTCGAGAAAAAAACCCAAATTGAAGATGGATTGCAAATACCAGATCTGGCCAGAGTACAGTGGGATTAAAATAAATGCTGTAGTGAAGTGGTTATGAGATGTTTGTCACGATGTATTTTTATTTACAAGAGTTTCCATTGTGTCAGCTCACAGTGGTCAATCAGGAATCACATCATCTCTCACAAATCCATTAAACTTGGGACCACAGAGAGCTGCAGGTCAGAAAAGCATTCAGGAAGACTGTGCACCCTCCTGCACAGAGACTACTCAAATGGGTTTGGTTTAGACACATTAATTCCTCAACAGTTTGTACTTTCACAGCATTCCTTATGTGAAAGGAGATAGTTCATCATGTTACACAGCAAGGAACAAAAGGACCAGATACAAGGGAAGGAGGCAGGGAGTCAGAAGAGGTTGGGATATGTGGGGGAAAATAATATGACCAAGAGGAGTCTTTGGATAGGGGGTGCAGTCCTTTAAAATCACAGAAGAGTGACGGCAGTCAGACATGTTGAAGTGAAGAGTTCCAGCATAGAGTATATTAATGATTTGGATGAGGGTACAAAATGTAAAATCTCCAAGTTTGCAGATGATACCAAGTTGGGTGGGGGGTGAACTGTGATGAGGATGCAGAATTCCTTCAGCATGATTTCGGCAGGTTGGATGAGTAGGCAAATCAATGGCAGATGCAGTATAATTTGGATAAGTGTGAGGCTATTAACTTCGGAAGCAAAAACAAGAAGGCAAGGCAGATTACTACCTGAATGGCTGTAAATTGGGAGAGGGAAGTGTGCAGTAGGACCTGGGCGTCCTTGTGTACCAGTTGCTGAAGGTAAGCATGCAGGTGTAGCGGGCGGTAAAGAAGGCAAATGGTACATTGGCCTTCATTGCGAGAGTTTTAAGAGAAAAGGAGCAGGGATGTGTTGCTGCAGTTGTACAGGGCCTTGGTGAGACCACACCTGGAATATTGTATGCAGTTTTGTTATTCTTTTCTGAGGAAAGATGCTCTCGAGGGAGTGCAGCGAGGATTTATCAGGCTGATTCCGGGGATGGTGGGTCTGACGTACGAGGAGAGATTGACTAGTTTGGGATTGTTTTCACTAGAGTTCAGGCGAATGCTGGGGGGGATCTCATAGAGATTTATAAAATTCTAACAGGACTGGTTGGGACTGGACAGGGTAGGTGCAGGGGTGGGTGTGTCTAGAACCAGGGGTCACAGTATGAGGATTCGGGGTAGATGATTTAGGACGGTGACGAAGAGACATTTCTTTACCCAAAGAGTGGTGAGCCTGTGGAACTCATTACCACAGGAAGTAGTTGATGCTAAAACATTGAATGTATTCAAGAGGTGACGAGATATAGCACTTGGGGCGAATGGGATCAAAGGTTATGGGGAGAAAGCAGGATTTGGCTATTGAGTTGGACAATCAGCCATGATTGTGAAGAATGGCAGAGCAGGCTCGAAGGGCCGAATGGCCTTGTTCAACTTCAATCTTCCTTGTTTCTATGAGTGACTGATCATTAATTTATTTTTGCGTCCTAAAGCACGTCTCGATTCTCAAGCCAAATTAATCAATGTCCACTTGTGAAACGTGGACCCTTTTGCCACTTATTTGCCCTTCTTCTCTTCATGACGATCTGCCTGGTGTCCTCTCTGCTTCAGGTATGGTTTAAACTAAAGCCAAGATGATCTTCTCCAAATCCTGAACCAGGTAGGCCAGGGGCCCTAAAAACATGGGACAACTTTTGTCTCATTGGCATTATCAGTGGCATATTTAAAGTGTTAATATTCTGTCTTGCAGCCAAGCCAGGAGAGACTGAAGTTTCTAGTTGATAATGACTTGCTGATTCAAGAAAAGATCAGTGGACATCCACCATTAAATTTCAGTTTTGCTAGAGAAGCTGATGAAAACAGCTCAGTGAGACTAGTCACTTGGAAAATTCGTTCAATACGAGACAAGCTGAAACACACAGGCAGCACAGCCATTCTGAAATATCCTGATTAAATTAATCCTCTGTAGCATAGAAAAGAAGGCCAGAAAAGATATACTGGAGAAATCTGTCGGAGAATAACACACCGTGACAAATTGCTGGCCTTATTCATATCTCAAATTACAAAGTTCATTTTACTCCTTCATCCCAAAGAGTCTTACCACTTGTAGCCAGTAGATGGTGCATTCTGCCTAGCCTTTATCTTATCTTGCATATTTAAACCATATGAACTCAAGATGTGGAGGTGCCGGTGTTGGACTGGGGTGAACAAAGTCAGAAGTCACACGATATCAGGTTATAGTCCAATAGATTTATTTGAAATCATGAGCTTTCGGACCGTAGCAGAGTGTTTCGCAGTGTTAACATTTATAAGCCAAACCATTGAAAATGACACAGGATCCTAGTCTAACCACCAATCTAACACTACAACAATATGCTTATATACAAATACAAAATAAAACTTGCAGTAGCATCATTCACAAGCTTAGAAAGTCCCAAATTGTTTGGAACCCAGTGATGTACGTTTGAAGTGTAGTTACTATTGCCATGTCAAATTAGCATATACAATATTTACAGGAAATCAGTCTGATGTAAAGAACCCATGCATGATGCTAGGACTGGTGCTACTCAGGTTTTGTTGGCTCTCTAATGAAATGCCCAAGTATTTTGGTTGCTCCGAATTGCTAAACAATACAGTGCACCAACAGCTTATAGACTTGTTCGACTTTGCACAAAACAGGCTCTGTTTTAAGCATTTTGTGATACTCTAGATGCACAAAACTTTTAAAAGCTTTAACTTCATACTTGATTCAAGGACCTTGATAAGTATCAAGTGATCCAGTTTCACAATGATCTGCCTCAGAACAGTCACCTTGGGAATAAAGTAGCTTCCCACCCAAGTGCATATAGATTGCATACTGCAGGATGTTCAGAAAGGATGATGAGCAGCTTTGTAGTGAATAGTAAGAGCTGAGCCAGAACACAGTACAACTGCCAAATGTTCAAGAATTCACGCTTTCTCTTCTTGTTTCAAGCAAACAGACCATTTCAGTTATTGTATGAATTTGGTCTTTGTTCTGCTTTATGTCTTGGTTTTTGTTTTGCTTATTTCACCTTGTAACTAAAGTCAGCGCATAGTGGGTTGGTGATATCGCGTGATCTGGCTTCCAACCTTCAGAAAGTTGTGATGGGCATAGTGCATAGTCTCCAACATTAGGCTTAAGGTTCATTTTTAGGCCTGGGGTTTTAAAATGCATTGACTCTAGGAAAAAAATCCAGGTTTCAGTGGACAGCTTCTTTAAACTGTGCTTGAACTGGGGAAATGAAGGAAAGTATTGGGCAAAAGCCCACAGTGTAACAATCTATCATTATGAATGGAGAGGCTTTATGGAGTCACAGGCTGAATATCTCTCTATAATTCCATGTGTAGACTCAACCACCGAACCCCTTCATGCCACATAACACCCTGTGCTTTTCCTTGGCAACAACCACAAGCGTTCACAAATGACTGTGAGATTTTCACATCAGGAAGTGGGAACATGTGCATCTTTATTTATAACGTTGGCTCAGTCATCAGGCTTCAGCTACTGGAGATTTGATCTACTTCTCAAAAAGAACTTTACATTGTCTTCAACTACATTAGGGCATGTCTACTCTACAAATATTGAAGGGGTCTGGGCGTCGCTCCAATTGTGATAGCCAGCATCACCACAGTGACTTATTGTTCTCAGGGAATCTAAGGCATGGGTACCGAAAATTTAGAAATGTATACACAAGTTAAAATTCAAGCGCAATAAAATAAATAAGTCACAAAATTAATCAAGGAGCAACGGATGGGATTAGTTCCAGTATGGCAGATGGGCAGATATTTTGATCACATCATTCTTGAATATCTAGTCTCCAGCTTTATCTAATCATATCACAATGATAATCTGCTTTCCAGCCTTATATTCCAGTCTAAATCCTGTCCTTCTAATGCCAGAGTACTGTTTGCACCCTACGATCTCTGTATCATCTTCAACGAGTGACTTTTCTTTCATCACACAACCTGTGTTAGCGTGTTATCTCTCTTCAATATGTTGTCCTGCTGTTTTGATACTCTACATACTTTCAAAAGCATCTGAAAAATATCCATCTCTTCAGCCATGTCTCACCCCACCTCCCCTCCAATTCCTTTAGCTCTTCTGTGCTCATCTTTCTCCTTGCTAAATTGCACAGAGGCATATATAAATTGCCACTGCCCATTCCCAGTATGGAGCTGTTTCCTGTCCAACAGAACAGACAACATGAAATGCTGTAGTTAAGCTAAACACAAACAGTGGGTCAAGTCTGATAAATAAGTGTTTAAACAGCGACGGCCAAACTCCTGAAACCTTTCATTGGCTTACTCAGTTCCATAAATAGTTGTCTGTATTTCCTGGAGCATCCCCACACAATCCCCCAGGTTAAAATACTGAAGCCATGCAGCCTCATCATTTGGTTTTGACAAACTGCAGGCTTCAACCTCAAAGCATCTCCTCTGGAAACGTATCAATCTTCTTTTTAAAAGAAAACCCCTCTGGAGTGCTTTTGGCTTGTAAGAAACATGAATGTCCACTGAACTGGTCACCCCTGCTTTATCCTCCCAAGCCCATGGTGCTTGGCTGACACTTAAAAAAAACGAGAGGGCAAGTGGGTATTACCTATCACTGAGTCTTCTGACACAGATGTTGTATTTGTTTGTACACAGACTTGTAGTATTTTAACTTAGCTTCTGAATTCCACAGTTTAACAGTTCTATCTTCCTCTTTTGTACAATAGAATACTTTTCCACCTGTTAAAATCAAATACCAGCATCTAATGCAAGCACATTCAAACACATGCAAGGTGGCTTTAACCTTAAAATAAAACCATAAAGGCTTTGATTATAAAACGTCCACATATTGGAACAGTTGATTTAATGTACAAATAGGTCTGTACGGAACTCTGATAATTGGGGAAAATTGATCATCTCCAATTTTTTGCACTTCATTTAAATAAACAATATAATTCTGCCCAGTGTCACTGCCTGCAACACCAGAGTTGGTGGAAGACAGAGGGGTGCTGAGGGAGAGGTACATATTTTCTTTCTCCAGCTCAGGCAGGAAAGCTTACAAGATAACTGGAGGGATTCAAGATCACATGTTAGAACAAGGAACTTTGCCAGGATATAGCACACATAAACAAGAATGCAGAAATAACTGAAGTGCAAGTTAATGAGTTATGGATGAAAAAAGGCAAATAAAAATAAACAGAAACACCTTGCCACTTCAGTGAAAACAGATGTGAAACAAAATGCCTCAAAACTTTAATTATTAACAGAAAAATGAATTAATTCTGGCTGATAAGTAATTGCTGCATGGGCCTCAACCAGATGTCATGAGGGGAGGTAGCTTGCAATAGAGTAATGATTCCAAATAGTAAAAGTTGATCCAAATTATCAGTTAGCAAAAACATGTCTCGGAATTGTACCTGTTGAGATTGCACTTGACACTACTAGATCAAAACACCGTCATCGATCCTCAGTTTCTGAGAGAAACAAATAAAGAGAGACACTAACAGGTATACTAACATATTAAGTACTTTTGTCAGTTGAGGCTCACTGTAAGAGACCTACAAAACATGGCAAAACATCATCTCCCACCCTCCAATAATTCCCATCTCTTCTGCCAAGGTGGAAACCATGTATCACATCAATCTATGCACAGAAGGACTGGTGTGAACCGTTGGCTGCCGAAAAGCATGGAAAGTTTAAATGCCAACTATTGTTGATAAGCAGACAGTGGGTCCTAAACAAAATCATTGGTCCTTTTCTAAGATCAGCTGTCGAAATTTCAACCCACGTACCATCTCAGGGACTTCCAGATACCCCAATCTCAGTGAAATCTGTACTAATTTCAGCAAAAGGACAGTGATCCATCACTTTGCACCAACAAAGGCAAAGCAACACCAAACCAACAGTTGCCACAGGTCTACATTTCACTCTCCACAGCTCAACTGATAGCAAGCTTGCCTCAGTCAGGAGGATGATTATTCAGGTCCACCGCCAGAGGCTTGAGCACATCATGCAGTATGAAGGGAACAAGGCATTGTCGCAAGTCCTGTCTTCCTCCTGTGACTTAATAAGCCAAAAGGTCTGGATTCAAGTCCCACCTGTTCCAGAGGTGTGTCACAGAATGCTTAGTGTTGCAGGTGGACATAAGATTATCCTACGACATAACCAAAGTACAGCAAGGGAGTTTTCCTGGCTAACACTTATCCTCAAACAGTACCTACTGATTTGGTCATTTATTTCATCACCATTGTGAGACTCACTGTGTACGAACTGATTGCCACATACAGCGTTGACTACACTTCAAAAGTACTTCACTGACAAGAAAGTGCTTCAGGCCATCTACGGATTTTAAAAGTTGTTGCATGAACAAATACTAATTCACAAATTTGACTCAAAAGCAATGATTTGTATAACCTTGCTTGTGTAGAGTTGCTTCAATGCTGCAGCAGTGTTCTCCATCATATATACTATCACTATACCCATCGAAAATTCATTTTTATATGTACATTATCCAGCTACACTAAAATAACTTACCTTCCGCAGCAGATCTGCATGATTCTGAACCAATTCAGTGTACTTCTCCTTTAATTTTGTGTATCTTTGTTCATTGGCTTGAGCTTTCCCTGGGAAATAAGAAACAAAGTTGTCCCATCTATAATCTGTTACTGTGGGTTAGCAGTTCTTAAACACCAAAATGCTTAAACTTCACCATTTAATTGAGATCAAATCCCTCTGCTCCACAATCACAGAACTCACACTGACCCAGGATTTTAAATGATATTCATCACATTTACAGAATACACAGAAGCAAAATGGTACTCCAAGATAGCAGTGGCAGCAGGGCAGGCAGTGTTCTGGGGCTCCTGAGCCTATCTGCTCCCCAGCACAAGGCCAGCCACATCCTTCTTTCTCCTTTTCTCTTTCATCTTCATCTTTTTTCTTCTTTTCGGCAGTGATAGTAACAGGGACAGGCTGCAAGGCGGTGAAAGCAGGCACCCCGGGGTGGTAAGCGGGTGCAGGTCGAGCCTTTGTGAGATGGACTGTGGTGTTCAACTGTTAACTGTGTTCCTCTGTTTTTCTACCTTTTAAACTTTGTTTTCCTTATTTTTCTGCTTTGTACCTAAGATTCTGGACCTGGGGAGGGGGGAATACCTTTGTACCCAAGATGGTGCCGTAAGTGGTGACTTATAAACCTTTCACAGTACTCATGTGAGTACATGTGGCAGTAAACCTAATTCAATTCAATTCAGTTCAAAATATTAGCTTTGAATATACAGACCAGTGGGCAAACCTCCCAATTTTTCAGAAAAAACTTTAACTTACGTTCGATCTCTGTGAGGGTCTTCTGGGCTTTCTCTGTGTCATCTTGTCTTTTCTTCACCTCCTCGAGTTCAGCCTTTAAAAACTCATTCTCATCCAATGCTTGTTGCTTCAGGTGCTGCTGTTCAGCCAGGTCTGCTTCTAACTCACTGATCCGACCCCTCAACTGTGAGATCAAACGTTTGCTCTGAAACAGGCAGAAGGAGCACCTTTGGCATTTTCAACTATTTCCAATGTAGAAAAACTAAGCCTACAGGCCGAGGCGCCATGGAATGAAATTAACAACAAGGAAGAGGCAAACCTTAGACTGACTACTATCCTGTGAAGGACCCTGAGAGGTTTCCTACGGAAAATACGTGTTGTTGAGGCAAAATATGTAAATGATAATTCGCTAATGTGAAATTTGGGCTTCTCAAAGCTTACAGATCGGCAGAAGAAAGAGTGACACTATTGCGTCCTAGACGTTTGAGGAAAGAATAATTTATAGTAGGAGACATATGAGCAGAGTTCAATAGAGCAACAATTCAACAAGGGAAAACACCATGTGAGACAGACACAAGTGTGTGCATGTACTGTGAGCTCGTGCGTGCATGTGTGAGAAAGAGAGTGAGAGAGAGAAAGTGAGGGGGAAAGAAAAAGACAGAGAGAGGAAGAGAGAGACAGAGTGAGAAAGGGACAGCGAGACAGACAGAAATAGAGGAGGAGAAACAGACAAAAGGAGAGACAGACAGAAAGAGGTGATGGGGAGAGGGAGGGAGAGTCAAACAGAGGCAAAAAGAGAGATACACATATGTACAAAAGCACACAAAAGTTGAAACTAAGAAACAAGAAGGAGAAATTATCTACTCACCTTCCACCTGAAACCTGAACTAACTTTACACATTTGCAGCCAAGACAGAATCAGCACTTAACCCAGGAAACTGGAGCATTTACATTGAATCATACTCAATCTATTAATGACAATGGTCATGACATTTCAACACAGTACTGTCACTAGGCACATATGGTGTCTTTTCAAGTACCCATGATTGGGAAAAGCTCAAGATAAAGCTAAGTCTTATTTGTAACACTTCATTCAAAATTGCTGCAATAGTGTCAAAGGTGTAACATCAGTATTTGATAAAGCTGTTGGCAATAATTGCAGTCAACTGCATAGTGCATTTGCACGATACTCCTGATTGTTCTTTAGCAAAGACACTAAGTGGTTGGTATTGAATAGTTAATGAGTCTGTTAAAACAGCAGATGGAGGAATGCCATAAAAATAATTGACCATATTTAGTTCCCACAATAAGTTCTATTTTTCAGGATGAAAATGCTTTCTCCAGCCATAATCTGGTTTGGACAGCCAAAACACGATAATTGTACTGGAAAGCTTCTAGCAGTACAAATGGACACAATATGAAAACTGTAGTGAAATCCTAAAGATATTACTGTGGTGGGAGGAAATCAGCTTAACTGATGCAGTAGCTTCCAGAAACTAACAGAGCTCTCTCTCTCTGTGCAAAGTTTTCTTTAAAACATGAATGAACCTAACTGTGTTTCTAACAGTCTCAAATTAGCTCTTCATTCACACAAATCCACAGCACAAAACTTTCTATAATTTAGCTGAAATTAGAACTGAATTAGCAATAAGAACAGCAGGTGGGGGAGATGTCATAAAGGAAGGAAACATTTCAGGCATCAATATGCAAAGTGTATCAGGTAGATAAATTGCTCTCAGCAATATTCATTCAGTTCTAGATCATGAATATCCTTCCTGGCTATAAAAACAGAGTTATTCTTTCCTTTATGTTATTTACTTTTCTTAAGTTGGTCAGAAGGCTGTCTAGAACGCAAGAAATTTCTATGAAGTAACAACCTATCAGGTGTCTTAGAAATGTTCCAAAACAGTTCAAAAAGCTTGACATCAAATGGAGTCACTGATTGATACATATATCTGTGGAAAAAATCAATTTGCCCAAAGTCTGACAGACATCAGTGAGGAGAAAGGCCAGTTCAGATAGTGCAGATCAGCAATAAAATACATGAGAATAATATAAGACAAAAAACTGTGGAACAAAAACAGAAATTGCTGGGAAAACTCAGCAGGTCAGGCAGCATTGTGGAGAGAAAACAGAGTTAATGGAACCTTCTTCTGAAGAAGGGTTACTGGGCACAAAATATTAACTCTGCTTTCTCTCCACAACCTGCCAGACATGTTCAGTTTTTCCAGCAAGTTCAGTTTTTGTTTCTGATTTCCAGCATCCACAGTTCTTTCATTTTTTTTTTGTTTAATAAACTGTGGATGCTGGAGATCTCAACCAAACCACAAAGTGCTGGAGAATCTCAGCAGGGCAAGCAGCATTTTGTGAAGAGAAAAACACTGAGTCCAGTGACCCAGTGTCCAGGGTCACTTGAATCGAAACTTTATCACCATTTTTCTCTCCACAGATGCTGCCAGACCTGCTGAGTTTCTCCAGAATTTTCTGTTTTGTAAAGGCCAACAGAATATTGAGCAACTTAGCCAAAATAGAATACAGGGTCAAAGAAAAGTACCAAATATGTGTCTCTGGTCAGACTTCATTTTCAGTGATAACTAGTTCTGGCTGCAGTTTTCCAGGCCCAGGAG